CAGTTCATGCACCGGCCGTACGAGGCGTTCCTCGAAGGGAGCGGCGTCGCCGCGGAAACGCTGCGTGGGACTCTGTACCAACGCGACGCGGCGTACTGCCCGATGCCCTTCGCGAAGCGTTGCCGCATCGAGTGGATCGGCGACCAGAAGCAGCTGCATTTTTACTATGTGCAGGTTCGCAAGTATGAGGGCAAGGACGTTGAGGTAAAGACCTTTCGCGCCGACGATCTGAAGACCCATGCGGATGTCGTCAAAGATGTCAGCCTCATCCTCGCCCACCCGGATGGCATTGGGCTGTCGACTGAAAGCAAGTCGCACGACTTCGACCTGAAGCTCGCGCCGGGCGAACAGAGCGAACCTCTGCGGGTCGAAGGCCCCGGCGCTCTGGAACGGCTGCGGCTGTTGGTCGAGGGCGCCGACGAGCGGGCGGCGTTGCGGCAGACGGTGATGAACGTCACTTGCGACGGTTGGTCGAAGGCCCATGTGCAGTCGCCGGTGGGAGATTTCTTCGCCGCGGCGCCGGACGTGAATCCTTACGTTTCGCTGCCGTTCACGGTGCAGGACGATGGCTGGATGACGAGTCGGTACCTCATGCCCTACAAAGAATCGCTGGTCGTCGCGTTTCACAACCTCGGCGAGCAAGAGGTCCGCATCCGCGGTGAGGCGAACACCAAAGCGCGCGATTGGAACGACGATCGCACGATGCACTTCTACGCCCGCTGGCGGGTGACGCACGGCATCGCGACGCCGCCGGCGCTCGACATCCCATTCCTCGTCGCGGGCGGGACGGGGCGCTATGTCGGGACGGCGTCGCTGATGATGAACACGGCCCTAGGAACCCATCAGGGCGGCACGTGGTGGGGCGAAGGGGATGAGAAAGTCTTCGTCGATGACGACAAGACGCCCTCCTGGTTCGGCACCGGCTCGGAGGACTACTACAACTACGCCTGGAGCGCGGAAGACATCTTCGCATACCCCTACTGCGGCCAACCCCGCAACGATGGCCCCGGCAACCGCGGCTTTGTCGCGAACTACCGGCATCATTTCCTCGACGACCAGCCCTTCGAAGACCGCATCGCGTTCTACCTGGAGCTGTTGTCGTACCACCCCGTCGAGGATTTCAGCTACGCCCGTCAGGCGTATCACTACGGGCGGCCCGGCATCATCGATGATCATGTGACGATCACCGCCGAAGACGTCCGCATCCCACGGCTACCGGCGCCATGGGTCCCGAACCCTCAGAACGCCTCGGCCGGCGCGACTTACTTCGAGCCCGAGTTGCTCACAACGCAACCACACCAACTGGAAGAGGGCGAGGTCTGGTCCCACGGCAAGTTGATGGCGTGGCGACCGCAGGCCGATGGCGAGACGCTGCGGCTCAAGCTCCCCGTCAAGAAGGCGGGCAAGTACGAGGTGCGGATCGGCCTCGGTTTTGACGGGCGTTCCGGCGCGGTGCGGGCGACGCTTGACGGCGAGCCGTTCGGCTTCGGCGTCGGCGCCGATAGGGAAGAGGTCGATCTCTACGAAGGCCGCCGGACGATGCTACGGGCGTCGGAGTCCCAGCAACTCGAGCTGAGCGAGGGCGAGCACGTCATCGAACTGATGTTCGACGACAAGGGCCGCGAAGACGCGCGGCTGGGCGTCGATTTCATTTGGCTGCAGCCGCGTTGAATCAACAACCAGGGTTGCTGATGGTGGGAGGCGTCTCCCGACGCCGATTACGCACACCATTCCGCAACGGCATGGATACTGTAATCGGC